GTGTGGGCGGCCGAGGGGGAGTGGTGCAGGCGTGGAAGACCCAGTGTGTGTCCTCCCCCAGCCCAGGCCAGTGACCTGGAGAAGATCCACCTGGACGAGAAGGCCTTCCGCTGGCTGCACAACGAGGACCAGATGGCTGTGGAGAAGCTCTCGGACGGCATCCGCAAGTTCGCTGCCGACGCGGTGAAGCTGGAGCGCATGCTGGAGGTGAGCCCCAGGGCATCGGGCAGAGTGGGGACTCCCTGTGGGCAGCCTGGGCACTGTCCGTCAGTGGACCCAGCAGAGGGCCCGCCCTCTCCGTAGTGTCTGACGCATTCCTTCGCATTTCCCACTGCCCACTTCTAGGAACGAATGTTCAGCGCAGAGAACGGAAACTAGCTCGGTGCCCGAGGCTGGACACAGATCTGTGCTGCCCATGAATTTGGGTCTGATTGCAATGCCTGGTGTGCTGAATCTTGCATTTTTTACCAATTGGAGGAGGGATGGATCATAGATTTCTGATTTTATGGAAAACTTTGCCTAATGCATTAAAGCAGTCACTTTTATTGTGCTGTGTGTGCTTCATTCCACTATTTGGCCCCCCCTTGGCCCCAGCAGATGGCTGCAGCCTGGGCCCGGCTGAGATGGGGCTGGGTCAAGGGCCGCAGTGTGGTGACACAGGCAGTTACCGTAGCCCCTTGTCTTGGTGCTGCTGGGTGGGGACCCTCCTGAGTAGCTCCTCAGTGCCCAGATCCCAATGGCCTCCAGGCCCATAATGTGTGCTGGTGGGAGTTGGGGTGCAGGGGTTCCCAGGCACTCCTGGGCTGTGGGTGCTGATGGGAGAGGCCTTCTGCCTCGCTGCCCTCTGAAGCAGTGGCCAGGATGCCAGGTTCCTGTGGGCTGATGGCGCCACCTCATGGGGACAGCATGAAGTGCACTGGCCCAGCTTCAAAACCAGGGTGTCTGGACGCACTGGGCCAAGGGGTGTGGCACAGCTCCATGAATAAGTTTTAGGGCGCCATTTGGACTTTGTTCAGCTTTGCATGCCACTGCACTGGGCAGGGCCTGGTGGGGACGGGACGGCCCTCCTTGCCCTGGAACCAGCCTGTTCCTGTAACAGCAAGGCAGAGCTGAACGTGCAGGGGCCAGGCTGGCCACTCCCTGTGGGAAGAGGCAGGTGTTGGGGACACACCTGTTGAGAAGCCCTCCCCGCCTTGGTACAACCCCTTCCGCCTTCCCTCCCTGGGAGTCGAAGTCTGGGTTCCTGCTCCCCATGGCTTTCCAGAAACACCAGGCATGGCCAGTCCCTACCTGCTCCCATCACAGCAGGCTGGGGCTGGGTGTTCCTGGAGTGACTGCCACCCTCCCCAAAGGCTCTAGGGACAGGCCTGGCCCATCCAGGGGCTTTGCACCCACTCCAACCCAGCCTCTACGGGTCCCTCCCAGCCCTCGGGGGTCTGTGTGCCTGTCCCCCACGATGGGAACTGTGCATCCCCAGAACTGCCCGCGCTCTGCGTCTCCTGGACATCCCATATCGGTGGAACCACACGGTGCTTTCTGTCTGGTTTCTTCCACTTAGCATGTTGTCAGGGTTCGCCCATGTTGCAGCGTGTTCAGGATGATGACTCTTTAATGGGCCTGCTAACATCCGATTTATGGGGCTACAATTTGTGTCCCTTCGTTACTCAGTTAACGCACCGATTCTGTGGAGCGCACAGTAGGTGTTTATTTCTCTTGGGTCATGTTGGGGTCTCTTTTCAACACCCTGGGCGAGTGGGGAAACCCAATAGACAGGCAGGGGAACCAGGCCTCAAGCCCACTCCTGCCTGCTGAGGTTTCCATCTCCTCCTCCCAGCCTCTTGGGCGGGCCCCCACCCCTGGCAGTGCCCTGGAACTAGGGGACTGAGGACTGAGCTGCTGAGGAGCCCCAGGACTGTGCAGCCCTGCCGAGCTGGCCTCATGCCTGGACCTGCAGCCCTGGGTCCAGGTGTGGTGCCTGCAGACAGGGGCAGGAGGCTGGCCGGGTTGCTGCGTACACAGCAGGCAGCAGGGCTGTCAGGAGCCTGACAGGAGTGTCCAGAGCGTGAGCTCAGTCCAGCGGGGCTGGAAGCAGCAGGGCTTGGGGAAGAGCCCCCAAGCCCAGGTGTGGGGGGATGGGAGAAGGTGGGGGACATACAGGGGCCCCACCTGAGGGCCACAGCCTGACCAGGCACCTGGGGATGCCCAAGGATGATCAGGCTGCACTGGGAGGGAGCCAGACAACTGCCTGGCGTCCCCAGCAAAGGCCTGTCCAGGGCCTGAGGGTGAGGGCTGCCTGCCACCCCTGCAGTCTTGGGACAGACACACACGAGTGGAGCTCCTGCTTGTAATCTCCACCCTAAAACCGCGCAGCAGCTGCCAACCGGCTGGGAACGTGCAGTGCCACGCAGCCCCCTGGGGTCTCCGTGTAGTGGGTGCGACGCCACTGCCACGTCTGCTGGGGTCTGCACCGGCCTTGCATGGGGTTCCATTTTGAAACCACGCACAAGGCAAGGGTTAAACTCAGGGCAGGTCTGGGGGCTGGGAACTCTGGGCCCTGGAAGATTCCTTCACCCTTGACCTCAGTCCATAGTGCTGAGCAAGCTCCAGCTAGCTGGTCCCTCCCCATAAAGCCAAGCAATGCCCAGAGGGCCGGGGACAGTGGACAGGCCTGGGCACAACCCTCACTACACAGAAACAAACTGGTGCCTCTGCCCATCCCTGCCCACCCACGCATCACGGTCATCCTGGCTCCCAGGGAGGCTCAGCACCCCGACCTGGGTGCACCGGGACAGGCAGAGGGGAGAGACCCAGCGCCGGCTCGGGAAGACCAGAGGGGCCAAGACCCCCGGGACGCCCACAGCCCGCTCACTGGGGACCGGCTCTCTGTGGAGAGCCTGAGCCCTACCCACAGCCAGGGCAGCACACTGGACACTCGCGCCTCTTCCCCAGAGCTGACACCCCTCAGGGCTGGTCCCTGGAGGCCTCCCCAATTCCACTGGGCCTGGTCAGGGTATGAAAGTCACTCTTGGGCTGTCACGGAGACAGGGTGCCTGGAGGCCTGAGGATTCCTGCTGCCTCTGGGGACACCTGGGCCATCTGGAGGCAATAGGGGCCACTGACAGGTAGGCTGGCTCAGCAGGGACCGCCTCATTTCCTGTAGGACAAACACCAGCCCATCACACCACACGTGGCCCAGCCAAGGGGCTGCTCACAGGCCAGGAACCTGCTCACCAGCCCGGCCCTACTGCCCCGACCCCACCAGCCCAGCCCCACCACCCCGCTCCCCTCACCCAGGCCTCACCGGCTGCCGCACAGAAAGATCAGGCTGTGTACGGCCGGGGCGGTGGAGCTGGCGTTCTGGCCCGTGACGAGGTGGCGGTCCAGCACGACATGCATGGCATCAGGCTCACTGGCTGCAGGTGGCCCGAGGGCCAGAGAGCACAGGCTTCAGCAGCACTGCAACGGGCCAGGCGCCACCCCCAGACCCACGCCCACCCACTCTCAGTGGCCAGCGGGAGGCTGGCCTGGCCAGTGTCGCCCCCGTCCAGCTCACCACTGAAGCTGGCGCCGGCATCCTTCACAAAGTCCTCCACGATGAGGGGCAGGTGGGCAAAGCCGGGTGCCCGGACGAGCTCATACACAGAGGGCTGTGGAGAGAGGGGCACCCACCTTGGGTCAGGAGGGTCCAAACCAGGGCCAGGGCCATGCCCTCCACGTGGGGTGGGGGTGTGCGTCACTGCTCGGGGCTCAGGGGCTGCTCAGGTGGGACAGGACCACGGCAGGGGCCTCAGGGTCTCCCACTGCAGGGCTTCCGGGGGCACATGGGATGGGTGACCAGAATGAGCTGAACCCCTCAGTGAGCGAAAGGGCTGGGGGTAGGGCACAGAGTCACGGCCCCTGCTTGTCCTGCTGTCCTCTCCTGAACCTGGACCTCCCCAGCCTCGGGCAGCCAGGCCTCAGTCCTCCCACAGCCCTCCTCCCCAGAGCTGCCCCAAGACCCTCCCTGTGGGGTCTCCTCCATGCCAGGTGCACCTCCCCAGCTCTGAATGCTGAACGGGTCCAGGCTCAAGTCCTGGCCGCCCCATCCACCAGGCCCTCCAGCCGCATGGCGGTCCTACCTCCTGGACAGGCACGAAAGCAAGGGCTCGACTCGACGCCCGCTCCCCCAGCGCACATGCCGAGCCCCTCCTGCCACATTTCCTCCCCATGCCCACAGCCAGCTCAGCAAACCTGGGTCCGCCCTCACCCACAGCCTGCATTGGGGCCCTCAGGGACATCAGCAGGGAAGGGAGAGGGGACAGCAGGCAGCACAAACAACTGCCAGCCTGGTGCTGGATTTCTCAGTTCCCATCTGGGCAAGTAACTGTCACCCGTGTCAGAGGTGACCATGGGCCCCCAGAGGGTCCCAGCCCGTCCCTATGCTTTCCAACCCGACTGCTGCTTTCAAGCCCGTGTTGCACTCACCCCGGTCACGCTGTAGCCTTGGAACACCCAGGACCCATCCTCATTGGTGGCACAGCAGAGGGCGGCCACCCCGTGGCCAACGGCACAGATGGGCTCTGAAAGCAGCAGGAAGGCGGGGCCTGAGGCCCTGGGCACCCCAAGAGCCCCTGGGGGCGCTGCCCACCTCCCAGAAACCCCACACAGGCAGCCGCTTCAGGACAGGCTGTTTCCAGCTCACATCTCAAGTTCTGGTGGCCAAGAAGCTGGTACACGAGGAGTCACGAGGGTGCTGCAGGTGTACCTGCAACCCAGGCTGCTCCACAGCCACGGCTCCCATGGCCCCTCGGCACGGCCTGTGCGGCCCAGGCTCGGGCTCGCCTGCTGGCAAATGTCTCATGGCCCAACCAGCTCCACTGTCACTAAGTGGCAGCCCACCTGGAAATTTCCCTCCTCCCCTGGCTGCAGTGGAAAGGGTGCCCAGCCCTCCTTCTGTCCCTGGGGGCCTCTGGGGGCACTGTCTCCACCCTGCCAAGCGGTCGCCTGGCTCTGAGCCTTCGTCCCAGAAGGCTTCCTGGCATGAGTGTGTTCCCACAGCTAAGGTGGCCGCGAACAATCACTGTCTGTCCCGGCGCTGCTGGGATCAGGAGGCCCCTTCTCACCGACAAAGGACACTGTGTGGAGCCCGGGTTTGTCTGCTGATCCCCAATGAGTGTCCTGCCTGTGTCCAGCAGACATGCTCATCACAACCCAGCCGAGTAGGGCGGCAGGCCAGGTCTCCACAGAGCGGCCTTTCTCCCAGCCCCTGCGGCCTCGAACCCCAAGGCTGGACACTGTGCTTTCCCCAGGAACTAAGCCAGCACCCTGCCTGCCCACCTCGGAGGGGTCCAGGGGACACAGCCACCAGCCCGAAGGCCAGGCAGAGGGCCCACAGGGACAGCGCCACAGGAGTGAGGGGGAGGGAGAGAGAGAGAGAAGGACAGAGAAAGGGGGAGGGAGGGAGGAAAGGAGACAGAGAAAGAGAGAGAGAGGGCTGAATAAACTTGTCCATTCACTGGTCAGAGTCACCGAGGATCTTTATATCTGAGGTGACCTGCGTTTCTGGGTCCAAGACCAGAAGCCTGCACTCCATGGCCACCGCCCCCCCCCACACGCACAGCTGTCTTCCCACCTCCCCTCCCCCACCCCCGTTGGTGGAGCCCCCACACCCCAGTCCCAGGGGTCACCTACTGCTCTCGGAGCGGAAGTGCTGCAGGATGCGGGCCAGGGACCCACTGCTGGCCAGGTCGGCCAGGGCCCCGGGACAGCTGGGGATCAGGAGGGCGTGGTACCGGGCACCTGGGGGAGACCACAGGCTGGTCAAGCAGACAGCAAGGTCGCTGGTCAGGACTAGACCCTCCATGAGGTCCAGCCCGGCTCCCCTCTGCTCCTACCGGCCAGAAGCCACCCTGTCTTTTTCCCTACAATAGCCAAGGCTCCCGGAGCCCCTGCACCACTTCTGTCCCCATGTGCCCACCACCTCTCCCCCGACACAGGATGCGGGACAGCAGGGCACCCTGGACAGTCACCGCGTTTGGCAGCGGAGTGAGGGCACTGGGTGCCACAGCCCCCCCGGATCCCCACGCACACCGGCCCTCCAGGGTCTCGGGCCCTCACCGTCGATGGACTCGAGCTTGGCGGGGCTGGCATAGGCCTTGAGGCGGAAGTCCTGCACCCAGCGTGCATTGCTCTCATTCACGTCCACGAAGTCCATGGTCTTCCCCTGTGGAGCGGCAAGGCCGGAGGTCAGCGCAGGACCCCTTGCTGGTTCACAGGGATGCTCAGAACCGCTGATGAAGGCTGGGGACTGAGGGCGGCCCCTCGAGGCCAAAGGTACCTGAAAGCCCAGCTCCCTCACTGAGTCTCAACACACCCCAAGCTCCATCGTGACCCCACCTGCCCCTCGCTGGTCCTCAGTCTCCCGCCTATAAAGGAGAAACAACTGTCCCACCCACCTGGAAATATGCAAAGTTACAAACACATATCACGTCCCTGCTGTGACCCCCAGGGTCCCATGCCATCAGAGGTCGCAAACCCTCCTGGAGAAAGGTCTGTGCCATCCTTGCTCTCACAGGCAGACACTCTGTCCCACAGGCGGGACAGAGCTTGACGATGCCACTGGGGTCCTGGCCTCAGCCCAAGCCAGCTCCTCAGGGTCACAGCAGCCTTGGGCTTGCACCCCTCCCAGCAGTAACAGCACTGTCCTGGCCTCGTCCCCAGAGAGAGAAGTCGGAGAGGGGGTGGCTGGACTTACCCCAGGGGTGGCCACCTGCAGGTTGAAGGCGGCGCTGGCCAGCGTGAAGCAGTGGAGGAAGGACGGGGCCGACACACCTGCAGAGGACACATCCCAGACAAGTGTAGGGCGAGCCCAGGGCTCCTCCTGGTCCCAGGACCACCTGAGGAGCAGCCCCTCCCCCCATCTCACCCCAGGGCCCCGGAGTGACAGCCTGGTCACTGAGGCCTTTCCAGAAGGCAGACCCAAGTCAGGGAGGGGGAGACTGAGCCCCCACTCCCACCGTGTTCAGCCAGGGAAGGTGGCAGGGAGCAAAGCCCTGTGTGTGTGGCTGTGGCTAGTATCCCCGACAGTGTCTCGGCCCTTTCCTCACGAGGGCTCCTGCTTCCCCACATCCCCAGCCCCTCCTGCCCACGCCCAGTCTGGACGTTTCCTGCTGCTGGGGGTTGCTGCCACACCAGGGGCATCTACTTCTGAAGGGGCTTCGTCTGCATCTTTCCACCTTTATTTTAATCCTAGGACCCAACCCCTAAATCTCCTTTTCACCTTTATTCACGCTTATAAATGAATTTGTGTTCATTAACAGTCCATATGACGAGCAAAAACAGTCTCCAAATCACGCCCCCAACTTTGCCGGACTCTCCCCCGCAGTTCTTCAAACCCTCCCACTCGCACCTACTTGTCCGCAGGGCCCGGAGGGACTGGAGGGCCCAGTGCTGCTGTTCACAGCCTGCGTGTCTTTTCAGGGCTGTGCCCCCGCCCATGTCCTCAGCAGCCCCTCCCCGCGGCACAGCCAAGTCCAGGAGACCGCGACCCCTTACCCTGCTCCAACCAGCCGCCTACAGGGTGACCCCCAACCTGTCCCTGCAGGACTGAACGCCACTCAATGGCTCCTCCCACACTCGAACTGCCCGTGAGGGTGGGAGCCGGCCTCCAGCTCCTCCTGCCCTCATTCTGGGCACAGGCCACTCAGGGCCCCCCAGGCTCAGCACGCCACGACCCGCCGTCTTCTCTCCCTTGCCCACTAGAGCAGCTGCAGAAGTTGAGAAGGACACCGGGCTCCACAGCCAGCCCCAGGTCCCAACCCGGGCCCTCCACCTGCCTGCATGCGACCTTGGTCTCATTACTCCCGTCAGACGGGGGAAGCCTAGACGAGCCCCAGGAAGTGCTCAGAACAGCGCCAGGCGCCGCCCTTATCTGCTCATGCCTGTCACCCCAACAGGAGAAAGTCGGTGCTGGAGCAGCCGGCCGCATGAGCCCCGCCCGGCCTCTCCGGGAACCTTCACCCCGTGGCGGGGCCGAGGGACGCCCCGCGCCGCACATCTCCCGACCCCCCGGAACAGTCCCTTCTCCAACCCCGCATCCTCCTGCGCGTGCGCCCGGCCAGCCGGCGGAGGGGTGGGTACCGAGAACACAGGCCCACGACCCAACGGTTCAGAAAGGCCCGTGCTCCCGAGGCGATGGCTGTCTGACCCCCAGGCCTGCCAGGGCCCCCACCTCCTCAGAACACCCACTGCCCCTCACATGCCCTGAGGGCAGCGGCCCCCGGCACAGGGCAGAGGACGGCCCACCTTCTCCGCGCCCCCGGGCGCACCGTCTGCAGCGGCGCTTGCAGGCCGCCAACACAGGCGGCCGTCTCCTCGAGCAGACACCAGCGCCACAGCGCTGCAGACCAGGGTGACCTCCCCGCTGTACCCCAAACTGCTCCAGGTGGGCGGGCCTCCCGCCCCGGCGCCGCTGGACGCAGTCTGTGCGTTTGCCCCGCCCCCTGCGCGGTGCCCCCGGGGCCCCCGGTAGTCCCTCCGCGCGAGCCTCACCCTCCGCGGCGCCGCTGGCCACGAGGAGGCAGGCAGGCCGGCTCGGGAGTCGCTCGGACGCCATGGGTTCTGCTGCAGCCGTCGCGGCCTGCGCGTGCGCGGAGCGTGCGTCATCGCAGGGCCGGGGAAACGCCGGTCACGTGCCGCGGCGGCCTGGGGGCGGGACCGGGCGCGGCGAGGCGCGCATGCGCCTTCCTGCCACCCGTCCGGTTCCGCCCCTCCCTCTCTGCGCTGTCGGAGTCTCAGGCGGCCCCGCGACGCTGTGTCCCCTGGGCTCAGTCACCCCTGTCGGCGCCTGGATGCGCGGTCAGGAACGGTTCCTAACAATTCCCTCGTCCTTTCTCGGGCAGTGGGCGCTTCCGGCCAGGGCCGGGCGAGGGGAGACCGGAGAGTTGGGGGAGGAGAGTGCGTCAGGAGAGAAGACCGCTGCCCCGTGCATGAAGGTCCCTGTGGATTCAGGCATTGAACGTTCCATCCCCGAGAGCAGCCGCCGGTGCCACCCTGAGCGCTGGCACTTGGAACGCCAGGGGCCAGAGCGCCCGGCCCAGTGGGCTCATGTCCTGGGATGGGGACGGGACCGTGGCTTCCTAGAAGGAAACTGCAGTTTGTAGAGGGTGAGAATAGCAATGGGGGTGGGGCAGAGTAACAGGGCAGAGCTCAGATGGACATGGGGGTGCCTCTGAGGAGGGCAAAGGCTTGGAGGAGGAGCTGGCTGAGCCTCCAGGCTCCTGGCTTGGGGTGTAGTCAGAGACCAGCGAGAGGTCAGCAGGCGTCCCCGGAGGCGGGAGCCAGGGGGATGGGCTCTGCCTCACCAGGACTGTTGGGGGAAGACAGCATTCAGGGTCACTGGGTTTCAGCTGAGCCCCTGGGAGAATGGGGGTGTCATTTCCTGAGATGGGGTACTTCAGGGGTGCTGAGTTTGGTAAGGAAAATCAGGGGAGCTGTAGGGCCAAGCTGCATCTGAAGCAGCCTTTTCAGATTGTCCAGGAGGCAGTGGGTGGGGGTGCACACAGGGTCGTCAGCGGGTGGTCAGTGCTCTTTGAGGCCTGGGCTGGAGAGAAGGGAGGCCCGTGGACAGGCTTGGGCCTCAGCTGGTGGTTAAGTGGGGGACCCTGCCCCTTGGTCCCCACAGTCCCCCCTGCAGGGCCCTCCTGCCAGTGTGGAGGGGTGGGCAGCAGGGTTCCCTCAAGGTCCTGCCAGCTTCTGCTATGACTAGGGAAACCTCTGTCATGGATGGGGACTGCCAGTGCGGGCGCCTCTAGGCTGAGGCCCTCTTGGGCACTGCCTGCCTCCACAACAGAGGCTCTGCCCTGAGCCTGGCCCAGCCCCACGCTCCCTCAGGCCCAAGCTCCAAGATACAGGCGCACTCTGCCCTCCCCCACTGCAGGGCCCTCCGTCCACAGAGTGAAGCGGGAACTGGGGGCTCCCAGCACTGGCAGGGCATTGGACAGGGGACAGGTGGGAACCTGGTGCCCCTGTTGGGTGGGTGGGGAGTTTGGATGGAGACCTACCTGCAGGCCTGAGGTCAGACCACAGGCTGGGCCTAGCCACACGGAGAGCTTTCTAGGTCTGGGGAGGGACCTCCTCTGTCCCATGCACATCCATGGGTGTCACACCTAGGAGCTGGAGGGGGACACAGGACCCTTGCTGGCCCAGCCCCCCTGCGCCACCCAGCGCATCCCTAACGCACCAGAGCTGGCTGAGTCCCAGGTGCACATGGGGCTTATTAAGTTCTGTGTCTCTAAGGAAGAGGAGGGGGGAGGAAGCCAGCCTGGCAGTGACACTATCCAGCAAGGCCAGTGTGTGCGTGCATGTGCCCCTGTGCTCACAGGCGGTGTGCACCGTCGTGTACACTTGGGGCCTCACAGGACACCTGCCGAGTGGGCTCATGTGCCGAGCAGGGGGGAGCAGACACCTGGTCAAGTCTCCTGGGCGGGCATCATCTTGGGTTCATGTCTCGTGTGTGCACATGGCCCCGGTTTAGGTGGGCAAAATTGGGTGTGTCACTGATCTGTGTCACCTGCTTCCAGTATGGGCAAGCCTGTGAGGGTTCGGTCCCGTTTGGCATTTGGAGCCCTGGTGAGTGGCCTGCACAGGTGAGGTGGCCGGGGCCTCCCACCGGAAGCCTCACAGTGGGTCTGGTGGTGTCCTGCCTCTCCAGGTCTGCCCCGGTGCACGGTAGGGAGGGCACGGACTAGATGCGCCTAAGGCCCTGCCATGCTGAGTGCCCTCCCCCTCCCCCCTGCTGGGCAGCAGCTCCCAACGCTGCGCACCCCAAATTGTGCTGGCATGTCTGCCCCTAGACCCTCACATCTCCACCCCCAACAGGTGAGGAGCCAATGCTCCTCAGACCCTGCGTTAGGGCCAACACCTGCAGCTGAAAGGCACACCTGGGCGTGATCGGGCTGCAGGGGTGCAACTGGCAGGTAGCACCTCCTCTTGGCAAAGCAAAGGAGGGCCTCTGGGGACCCAACAGTCCTGGATGACTGCCTCCTGGGAAGGACCAGGCCTGGGGGGAAGGGCCTCCCTCTCCAGGGCCCATGTGGGGTGCCCCCCGCCTGTCCTGCAGGCTCTTGCACAGTGTCACTCCTGAGGTCCTGAGTGGGGCTTACACACCTTCCCCAGGCGTGGAGTTAGGGCATCTTCTGCATGCTGTTCAGGCACCTCACCATCCAATAGCGAGTGCCCAGGTGGAGCAGGTGACGGGGGCTGCGGGCACAGGAAAGGGTAGTGAAGCCTTGAACCTGGCAGTTGCCTTTGTTTAGGGACCTGCCACAGGTGTGTGAGAGGTCTCAGGACATGGTGTCATGCACCAATAAAAAGGTTTTGTTGTTTCATTCCTGTCTCTGGAAGTTTCTCGCGCTGGAGGCCAAGGATGGGCCAGTAGAGGGCCATTCCTGGGGGACTTTCCACCCTGTGGGGCTGGCCAGTGCCACTGGACCTCCAGTCTCCCGGTCACCCCTGCTCCCTTCCCTGGCAACGCCCTTCTTTCCAGAGCATGCCTGGGCCTTTCACTGGGCACCTTTGCATTTGCTACTTCTCCCTTTGAAATGCTGGAGCTGCTCTCTGCCTGTCAAACTCCTAAATGTACTTCAAAGCCCATGGGCACCAGAGGCACTGTCTGCTTAGTCCTTTTCGAGGAAACCCCCACACACAGGGGTG